GCAACCAGAAGTGTTTTTCGTTTGTGAATATTTTTATCTTAAAACTAGAGTTGCAAGAAACTACCTTTTCACCATAATTTGTAAGTTATTAACTTACAAATTATGTAATTTGTAAGTTGTCGATCGTCGAAGGCTTCGATTTAAAATCGATCTGAGCTCCGAAGCTTCGATTTTCAAAAATGAAGTTGAAGGTCAGCCCTAGTTTTGGAACAGGGAAGAAACATATATCTTTTTCCAACCTCTCCAGGTAACGAGTATCATTAATGCACGACGTTTAAATCTGATAACTGATTTACATGATTCATTCATTTCAGATCTAGTCGTCTGTAGTCCTTTTGTTACAGTTTGGTCCGCTGTCAGAGGCAGGAGGACAATCACCACAAAGCCAGATGTTAAGCAGAAAAAAAGTTACAACCTTCATTGAAGATAAACAATTCATTCAAGGTCTGAATGGGCGCCATGGGACAGGGAACCTCCACATGGTTGGTTAAAGGACGACTCCCACTGGTACAGTATTTAACCACCCTCCAAACCATGAATGATATGTCTGCACACACCCACTGGTCACACTATAGCTCATTTAAAATGCACAGTAATCAATATGTGATCGCTCCAAACTGAAGGACAATCCCTCCCACCAGTATGAGAGCAGACAACCAGCTGATAGCATAGCCTCTGAATATCTCTTTCCCCGGATCAAAGGCTCACACACACTGAAATCTCAACCATAACAAAAAGTGTAAAGACATTGCACAAACAACATGAAATTAAAATCTCTCACCTCTTTGCCGAAAGTAGGTATCTGATGTGCTGGCATAAGAGCACCTCCCCCATAGTTAACTGTCTTCACTAACGGCAACACCATAAGCTGCAAACAGCACATCGTCCCTCACCCCCGAGTGCCACTGCCATGAAAATAGCAGCTTGTTATCTCACGCAACCTTTCAGCATTTAAATGAAGTCTTTTTTATTCATGCTTGTTTTCCCACCCACTCAAATAAACCTCTAATACAGATGAGAGAATTCTGATATGCATTTTTAAGCTGTGTGATGGAGGCAAAACTAAATAAAAACATGACTAAAACAAATCTTGTGTAGGACATGGTATTGGCAAATGCTCAATATTAAATGTATTAATCTTTTTTCGGACAGACACAATGCTTCAACTCTGAATAGATTATTAATAAAAATGTTTTTACAGAGTGCTTTCAGGTCCTTAAAAGGTCTTAAATTTAATTTTATGAATATTAGACCTTTAAAGTCATTGAATAGTATTAATTTTGAATTTGTGAGGTCTTCATCAGCACAATCATTTTATCTAATTTCATCTATCCATCTATTAATTTCTTTTTGTCAAACAAATCAGGCTCTTCTGGGTGCTAGTCCACATTTCTGATAATATGAATCCTTAATCCAACCACTGAACCTTATACTGTCTTTTTACTTTAAAATATAGATTAACCTAACCCACTCTAATAACCTAACTCTGCATGGGACCATATATACTACTTACCTTTAACGCTTAAATTAGAAAAAGAGTATTTGTCCAGTCTTAAATTTGTTTTAAACTATGTTGAAAAGCTCTTAAAAAGCATTTAAGTGTCTGATGCCTGCGGACACCCCAACTTAGTTTAGACTTAGTAGTAAAAAAATGGAGCGTGTCGTTTTATCAGTGCTCACCGGCTCAAAATTTGATTCAAATTCCATATCTCATGCAGCTCAGATCTCATATTCAGGTTGTTTCTGGCAGTCCGCAGGGCTTTTTTTTTTTTTTTTTTTACCTTTTGTAGCCAACGGCAACAGATGTCAAAGGAAGCTCTATGGATTTCAGGCTGTAGAATGATCCACATTTAGAAAACTTGAGCGTAGTATTTAATGTCAGGTCCACTCTGGGGTGGCCCAGGAGGTGCAAATATTCAAATTTTAATCATAACGCAGCATAATGGTCACCTTAAGTAAATAGGGATAAGCTTTAATTGGATTTTGCAAATAAAGTTGAAATGTGACTAAATTATAAAACTACTTTCTGAAGCTCAGACTGAAGTAGAATGCAAATGTTTAGGTCTCCATATATCTGTGGGTGTGCACAATGTGCATGTATGGGTATAAATGTGTGCATGGGTGTATGTTATTGTGTGTCCATTTTTGTTTGTTAATTTAGTTCCTGAATATGTCAGAATGTGAATACAAGCTATTCTCAATTAAATTGTAGAAATCCATCAGAGGAATCCCCTGTGAGAGGCTGTGCTCCCGCATGACTGGATATTAAAAAAAAACAAAAAACAACTAAACTCCCATTCACCCTGTGTTATTGATTGGGTGGCCACTGCTAATATTAAGCAATAAAACAGAAATAGAAATGTGAGGCGGAGCTGCCCTTTTCTTTTAATTTACTCGGCCATTCATACATCCGTTCACATCCCTCCTCACCTTCTCAGCACCCATTAAGATTGAGGCCCTGCGTTTTCGGGCAGCTCAACATCATCTTAATGCAATTCAAAGACCTACATTCTACACCAGAGTTGCCGTGGCAACAAAGTCCCCCCCTCCCTCCGCGAGATGCTGAAAGATCAATAGAGTATCCTCGACGGTGTGGCAGGAAATGCTCGGGTACAGATGGTCCTCGGAGAAACCATGAGCTTTGTGGCCTAGTTACCATCTGAAAACTAACACAATCGAGGGAGATCACTCCTCTAATGAAGCTACACAAACTTGGGCAACAGTATTGCACTTAATCTGAACCAAAGATCATAACACTGTTGAAATGATCTAACAGTACTGTGGTCTCTTATATAGGAGTCTGTTCAATAGGAAGTATGATCTGCACTAACCTACTTTTTTGTTTTAGCTTTCCCAGCATCTTTAAAAAAGGAAGTTTGGGGAATTAATTTAGACAAGGCAGGCACACTGTGCTGCCAACAATAAAGGAGCATCACTAAATAAATAAATTCTCTCAGGGGGGTTTTGAGTTTTCTCACACAGTGTACCACCTAGTGCGTGTTTCTGCACATGGAAATGGTTTAACTATGTGTGCATGTTGTGTTTTTCTCTTGCATGTGTATTCTTTGTTAAATAAATTGCACAGAAGCGATTTTTTTTTTTTTTCAATTTCAAACAGTTAAGGTGGTTGTATTTCAGAGATGGAGGTTGCAGCTTAGCCTGCAGAGTCATAACAGGAAGGGAAAGAAGTGTAAACACAAACAAGGGAAGGTCCAGTATCTTTTATTAAATACAGTCTAATGGTCTGCGGAGTCAATGTAATACAACTGTCAGTGCTGAGTAAATTCACTAAACGAGCTTTCAGAAACTGTACCACTGGTTTGAACTTGTGCTTCAAACTGTCCTAGAAAATGACATCATGCAAACCCAGATTTTAATGAGAGCTCTGATTGGACAGCGGTAGTCCATAGTTAACGAGGTGCCCTGTTGTCTGTCAGACAGTAGCCAGACAGCAGCGTGAGTGTGTGTCTGTGCAAGAGAGCGAAAGGGAAAAAGTATTTGTGAATTCTCATCGTTGGCTGGCAAATGCAGCGCAGGTTGATGTAAAATGGCAGAAATGCACTCGCAATTTCACACTTCTCTCGCTATCTCGAACATGCATAACAGCTCTCATCAGAACAAGTTTGTTGAGTTTAAGACACATGTGAAAACAGAGTCTTTGTGCAAAGCAAGAGCACGAGAGACTGGGGGCAAGAGAGCTTGGCTTGTACTTTATTTCTGCTATGAAATTTGACATGTGGCATTTAAAATATTCCATGAATCTCACCCCAGGCGATTTTAAATCAAATTTAATTTAGGGTTATTGGTACTGTGAGCATTAGATGCTTTTGCTTTGGGCACAACGGGGGACAAAATCAGTGGTGTTAAGGATGTCAGCACCACCTCAACATGGTGGAAGATAGATAGAGTCTCTAAAATTAGTCATGACAAACTGGATGAGGCATCAAAAATGGGGAAAAACAGACACCATGAAAATCATCAGTCAGCTCTTCCTGAGTGAAGTCAAATAATTATGCTGGACCTCTAAAATAAGGGGATCAAAAGTGTCACCCTGTGGGGCTGGGTGGGGTGGTGGGCTGTAGCAACCCAAATGTCACTCTCTAAACCAGGAAACCAAAAGTCAGTTGTCATCTCTTTACTTTAACGGCGTTAACAGGCTCTCTCATCAACTGTGAAGCTTTAGGCGTTAGCGATCAAGATGGATGCCAAAGAGGGTAAAACCACTGACAATGTGGCATCAGCACATCACCATTTGTGTTCCACTGGGGTCTCTTATGGTTATTGCAGCCAAGGATCACTTCTTACTCCTGTCACCACAGGCGTGTTCTCTCCAAGACTGAAATCAATACTTCTAAATGGGAATCAGAAAATCAGAACATCCTCGGTGCCGCCGTCCAACGGACTCGAAAACAAGCCGCCGCTTTCACCTTTTACTTTTTGTTGCTGTGATTTACATGACAGGTTTCTGTCTAATTTTGTAGTACATCTCAGAAGCATGGGGAGAGCAGAGAGCATGAAAAGGTCATGAAAATCCTTGAGCGCTGCTGACAAGCGCCCTTTTCTACCTTTAATTCTCCATCCTGATGTGGAACTCAGAGCAAGGAAAACACACAGGCCGTGTTTTATGATGGAAATGTACATGGCATATAGTTACCTAATATAGGAAAACTGCCCTGTGATCATTCAAGAAATTATATGGTTCAATGGTGATGCAGCCAGGTGGCACAAAAAAACATTCTGTTATTTCCATTAAAAGGCTACAGAGACATGGGCTTCTGACAGTGTTGGTGCAGCCTTTCATCATCCCAGGTGCCATTATTTCAGAAAAGCTCCATTTCATTTTGTGATTGATACCTTGCTGGCAGTCTCAACAATCTTGGTCAGACTCTTGATTTTTGCAGCAGGCTTTCATAAAAGCTGCGATGCTATTTATTAATTCAAAGATCTCTATTTTTCGACTCAATGCCTCTCCTATTTTTCTTTCTCTGTCTCACACACAGGACCTGGAAACTGATTAACAATGGACCGGCTGGTTCTGTGCGTGCTGCTGTGTGCAGCTCTGGTGAAGGGATACAGCTGCCCCGGCCGCTGCATCTGTCAGCACCTCTCCCCCACCCTGACTCTGCTCTGCGCTAAGACTGGTCTGTTGTTCGTGCCCCCCACCATCGACCGCAAAACGGTGGAGCTGCGACTCACAGACAACTTCATCACCATCATCCGCAGGAAAGACTTTTTCAACATGACCAGTTTGGTCCACCTCACCCTGTCTCGTAACACCATCAGCCAGATCACCCCCCATGCCTTTCTCGGGCTGCGGGCGCTGCGGGCGCTCCACATGGATGGAAACCGCCTCAGCGTGATAAAGACCGACCACTTTAAAGGCCTCGTCAACCTGCGGCACCTCATCCTTGGAAACAACCAGATCCACCAGGTGGCCCCCACCTCATTTGATGAGTTTGTTTCCACCATAGAGGACTTGGATCTTTCCAATAACAACCTGCGCAGCCTTCCCTGGGAAGCCATAGCCAGAATGACCAATATTAACACGCTCACACTGGACCACAACCTGATTGACCACATTGGAGCGGGGACTTTTACACTGCTCACCAAGCTGGTCCGCCTGGACATGACCTCTAACAGGCTGCAGAAGCTGCCGCCAGACAGCCTGTTCCAGCATGCTCAGGTCCTGTCTGATGCCAAGGGATCCAGCTCCTCCACGCTGGCTGTGAGCTTTGGTGGCAACCCTCTTCACTGTAACTGTGAGCTGCTGTGGCTCCGCAGGCTGACAAGGGAGGATGATCTGGAGACCTGTGCCTCGCCAGAGCACCTCATGGACAAGTATTTCTGGTCCATCCAAGAGGAGGAGTTTATCTGTGAGCCTCCTCTGATCACAAAGCATCTTTCCACTAAGCCCTATGTGATGGAAGGGCAGGGTGTGACTCTTAAATGCAAAGCAGTGGGTGATCCAGATCCTGATATACACTGGCGGTCGCCAGACGGCAAGCTGGTGCATAATAACTCCCGCACTATTCTGTATGATAATGGCACCCTTGATATTCTCATCACCACGCTGAAGGACAGCGGGGCATTTAATTGTGTTGCGTCCAATGCCGCAGGCATCGCCACAGCTGCTGTTGAGATCAACATGATCCCCTTACCCTTGTTTGTTAACAACACAGGCCACATGCGTGAGGACCCTGGCCTCTCAGACATCACCACCTCCTCCAAATCTGGCAATGACACCAAGGGCTACGACAAGCAGGACAGGAGGGTGATGGTCACCGAGCTTACCTCCTCCTCCGCTGTGATCCGTTGGCCATCTGAACGCCATATCCCCGGCATCAGGATGTACCAGATTCAGTACAACAGCACGGCAGATGATACTTTGGTGTACAGGTAAGCCACGGTGGAGGGGGTGGTTGGATGCAGAGAGGGGAGGGTGGTAGAGCAGGGACACAAGGAAAGGTGAGACATCTGGAGTTACCATCTGCTGAATGACACAACGGTCCGTTATGGCAGATTGACAGATCCCAGAGATGCAAAATGATTAAGTATGTCCAAAAATACGCAGAACCCCTATAGTGTAGTCCGGGGGATAAACCGAGGAGGAATATTTTTCCATTAATTATAATGCCTTCAAATGCGCAGTCATAACAATATGCATAACATGTACAGTTCAATTAAGACATTTACAGATCCAGTAAACAATTTTTGAAATCTGATATCTGAATAGGTTGTTGCAATCAGCTGAAGAAATTGTGGAGTCCAGCACTCCAAAGAACTAAAGGGCCCTTTCAGCATCATTAAAACATAATATGACAATAAACAATAACATGAGGCCCGACTATTTCACTGCATGTAACTGTTTGTATCATTAGCAAGTGCCGGCATTAATTGGTTGAAACACAGAATGTGATTAGATGTGGTTGTCTAATGATAGGCTTGGTTGCAGTGGTGGGAGAAGTTTTTTAATCAGTTACTTACTGAAGGTAAAGTAGCAAAACCACACTATAAAAATACTGCAGTCTCCAGTCTTGTATTTAAAATGCCTAGGCAGCATTTTACTGTTGTAGCTGGTGGAGGTGGAGCTAGCTTTAACTAGTTTATATACAGTTCGCTTGATTGGTCCAGTGGTTCCCGATCAGTTCTGCAGACTTTCTGGGCCTCATCATCGTCGTCATTTAAATTAAACCATTTAAAGGGGAAATCTTTTGTTGGTGAACTGCTAATAACACATAGATGTCCAAAATGTTGCAAAAGCCTCAACTATACACTCATTTTATGTAAGGGATCAAAAGCCAGAAAGCTTGAAGAGCACTGGTCGTCTTTTTAAATTATTATATTTTAAATGTAAAATATTGCCCTGAATAAGGATGGGAATTGAAAAGATTCTATGATAAACAATGGCTTTGTCAATTCTGCTCATCGGTCTGATTCTTTATTGAGTTCCTCATTGATTCCTGATCAGTTTTCTGTGGAAGAAAAGACTTTTCTTTACAGGTTTTTCAGTGTCAATGCAACTGTTTTATCATGTTTGAGTCTAAACAGTGTAGATGATATGAGAGAATATTTTTACAGAATTATTTTTTATTTAGATTTTCTTAGTCAAAGAAAATATCTGCTTTTACCCCTGGTAACGTATGTGTTGCTCTGTTGGGAAGCATGATGACACTCATGCAAATACAAATGTCAAATACACGGCATTTCTGTAATTTAAGCCCGAGTTGCATAGAGAGATGTTTCATCATGTTGCTAGTGTTCCAAGTCTTAAATTAATAATCATTTTACAAACATTACAAGCAGCACTGCTGTGGTCTTTCTTTGTGAAACGAAGCCACCCTTTGGACCTGCTCGTCCTCTCTGCCATGACTCCTTTTTGCTGCAAGTTTTGCACTGCGCAGCTGTTAGAACAAGCATGCAGGCGTAGATAGCACGAGTAAATAAACTAGGAGCCATATGATTCTGATGGATCAGGCAAATTGGAACCAATTCCCAACTGGAAACGGTTCTCGATTCCCATCCTTACCTCTTAGAAGTAACCACAGCTGTTACGTTAATTAGCACAACATTCCCATTTAATATGTAGTTAAGTAGATGAATAAGGTAAAATGGAAACTGTCATGAAAAGCACAGCACTTGGGTAAATGTACCTAGTTACTTTCAATCACAGAGTATTAGCAACATTTAGTATAGTATCTTATCCATAATGGCCCCTTTAGAGTGTTTTATTATTATATTTAATGATCACCATTGTAGCATTAACATGTTAACAGTGTTTTAGTGTTGTAGTCGAGATGGAGCTCATATTTCAGGAGATGACTATATGTTTTGTATATTAAATATTAATCTGAAAAGTGCAGAGTAACCATTTCTGCAAAACAAATGTACTGTATTGGTGTAAAAAGCACAATATTTCTCTCTAAAATGTGACGGAGGAGGAGTATGAGGTATCATACAAGGAAAGTACTTGAGTCACTTTCCACCACTGCAACAAATACAGACATACTGTACAAGACAAAGGTCAATATACAGTAGGCATTTTTTTTTAGAGTAAGTTGCAATATATAAGTTAAGTTGCAGTGTGTAATATTTAAAGTGAGAAATATCCATGAACCTGAGCAAAATTAAAAGTGTTTATGGTTTTGAAAATGAGCTAACCCTCTTCTCAACAGTGAGTATAAACATCTGCAGACCACCTTGAAATACTGTTTTAAATATGAGAATAAGTTTGATGCGTTCCTTATGCAATATGTGACGCACATGAACCGAATCTGGTACACCAAGAAGCACTTCAGGATTTATGTATTCATGGAGCGAGATAATAATAGTCATCGACTTTTTTTTTTTTTTTTTTTTTCCCAGGTTTTATCAGATATAATGAGTCGCTCTCCTGTATAATTTTCTCATCCAGTTTAGGCATGGAGCTGAGTGTTGTTTTGTCTTTAGGAGGTACATTATTACCTACAAATGATAACCATCAAAATCCCCCTTTGGGAAAAGGAACACGCTTCTAATTATATTAGCGCCAATGTTGACCTGAAGACAATGCCTCTCTCCATCGTATTTAGAGTCGTGTAATTTCGCAGTTGCCGACAAAATGTGACCTTAGGTATTCACACATCAAAACTGCCTTCACATCATGCGTCACTTGTCCTGCAAACTGCAGCTGTTGTGGCATATTCTTTAGACAGCGAGCCTCCTCTGCTTTGTTTATCACCTTGTGGTTTACCCTTGCTGTCATTTCATACACAAACCCAACAGAGCAACTTTTCACTGCTATTTTATGATATAACATATTCTTGTATAAGTCAACTTTAATGAAGTGCTGTGCTTTTTATGTTTGTCTACCAGAATGCAAGAGCTGCGTCGGCCCTGTTGTCTTTTTGTTGTGTGGAACTGACACCTTTGTGTGATTTAATACACCTTATGCAAATCAGTATATGTGGGCGTTGTAATTCCAATGATTAATCGTCAACATCTTCACCACCGCACTATGTTTCTTCTCTCTGCAGAATGATCCCATCTACCAGCAAGAACTTCTTAATCAATGATCTGGCCGCAGGGCGGGAGTATGACCTTTGTGTACTGGCGGTTTACGACGACGGCATCACATCATTAACAGCCACACGTGTGGTTGGATGTGTGCAGTTCCACACTGCCAGTGAGGTCAGCCAGTGCCGCTTCATGCACAGCCAGTTCCTGGGAGGCACTATGATCATCATTATTGGTGGTATAATTGTTGCTTCGGTACTGGTGTTCATTATCATCCTGATGATCCGTTACAAGGCCTACAGCAGCCCAGAGGACAGTAAGACCAAGGTCAGTTCCAGCATGCACTCGCAGACCAATGGCAGCCAGCAGCGGCTCCAACGCTCCGCCTCCAAGCAACCGACTGATGAGGGCCAGCGGGAAGCTCATGCACCCAAAGAGTGCATGGCGCTGGTACTAAGGGTGGACAATGAGAAGAAGGAGGATCCAGCATCCACTACTGCCATCTTGGAGGTGGAGCTGCCTCCGCTAAATGCAGACAAGATGAAGAGAAGAACCAGCCTGGATGCACAGTGCTCTGGCCCCCCATCTGAGGACACGCAGACGGACAGTAGCCTGACGGGCTCCACCATGTCCCTGTGTCTCATAGGCCCCAACGCTGGCACCAAGGAGGCTCCCAGGCTCAAGGACAAGAAAAATGCACTGGCCAACATGGGATTGCTCCCTAATGAGCTGGCACGAACTAGGCACAGATTCTCTTTTGACGGAGGGGATTACTCCATTTTTCAGAGTCATAGTTATCCACGCAGAGCGAGGACGAGGTGGCACAAGTCCACCAACCAGCTCAACATGGAGTCATCGCCGCTCGCCAATAGGAGAGTTACATTCAGCAGCACTGAGTGGATGCTGGAGAGCACAGTCTGAGGAGAGCAGTGTAGCCGAAAATAAAACCGGTTCGGTCACACGTGGGACACACATGTAAAAACACAAATATGTCTACATGCCATATAACACATACTTTCCCTGCACACAGCAGATAATGAACATAAGCACATTTACGTACACATGCAAACTTTCTGTGAGTTGCTGGAGAAGAACACAGTCTCCCTTCATCCTGCCTCCCCATCATACTCCCAGAGAGGTTTGTTGGCCATGTCCTTTGTTTATGCAGCAGTGCCTTATTCTAAAAAAAAATGTACGAATGGAGGATGCTGCTCACTGTAGTCATAAACCGTCCTCTCTGTCATTGCCTCCCGCCCATTCTGATAATGGAAGGCGTTTCTTTGGATTTTTTAATTTTCTCCTTTTTTTTTTTTCTCTGTGACATGCCAAGGGGGTGTGGCGTTTGGATGTGACTGTTTAATTGTTTAAAAAAAAACAAGAAAAAAAAAATCCATCATAACTGTAAAGTGAACAGCCAGGTATCCTGTTATGTCAATCATGTTTTGGGTTCTTTCAGAAAAAAAAAACAAAAAAAAAAACTTTTGCACAGAAGACACGAGATACAAGGACAAGTATCACCACCAGTCTATACAATAATAATAATTAAAAAAAAAAAGAAAAGAACAGGATTTTACACATGCCGATTTCTAATGTTACCATAGAGAGGATGGACCTGGGAGCCAACCGCTGATTCCTCTTTGACAGTCGGACTGTATGATGTTAAATAGATATTGTTCCAGATGTGACTGTATATTAATCGGTACTGTATCTGGCTGGTCTAGATAAAAAGACAACAAACAAAAAAGACATATATAAGTATATTAAAACATTGGTGTATGTGTACTAACTATGTAAGTAAGTAAGTCATATGTCACATGACTTTTTACAAAGCATTTGGGTGTTGGCTGCAAGTTTTTACATTAAAAACCTGTGTCATCACTCTCCCTATTTAGTATGTCAAAGTTTGGACCATTTATCCCCTCACGAAGGGTATTAAATTTTTTGTGTGGGTTAACTGTATCGGTGGCGTTTCCTTCTTGTGCTTCAGGAGCAGCAGCAGTGTGTGTGTCGGCTGCAGGGAGGTACACAGGCGAATTGAGATGATAAATATTTGATTCCCAAGTACTATTTATAAGGCTTCTGTGAAAGCTGCACGACGACCGCGGAAGCAGAGTGGGGTGTGGGACGACGAGGGACATGATCACTCGACATGAGGCTGAATTCAAATGCAGCCCGTTGTTATTAACAAGGGTGTAAGATCTATTGGATCCCACTAGGGGGAGACAAGGCTCTGTAAGGTTCTCCAATGGGGAAGATGCTATAATAACTTTTATCAGCAGAAAGCCTGCGTAGGTTTTAAGATTCAGTTTCCTCTCATTTTGGGGCAAAGCTTGGATCTTGAAAAGAGGATGACAGTATTCTTACACCCCACATATTTAGCACTTATAAGCAGAACTTATGTAAACAGTCAGTTAGTGGCCTTAAACACATGATAATGTAGCAGAGATAAGGACATTTTTTATCAATAGTTGTCTAAAACTCTTTTTGTGAAGCATCTGTAACTGGTGTATTAACAGATAATAAATCAATATAACAGCTGTGATCATATTTAATGATATGTGATCACACACAAACAAATCTTCACAGTGTGTAAGAAACAGTATGTTCAAAACACAGGAGGACATTTTGAGCTTTTTTGAAGCATCTCATGACTTTCACAGTGTTTGTTTGAAAATGAATAGATACTTAATGTATCTTTGCAGCTGTGTTTTAGTACACCAGTCAGCCAAAACATTCAAACCACTGGCGGGTGAAGTGAACAACGTTGATCATCTTGTTACAATGCAATGTTCTGTTTGGAAACCTTGGATCCTGGCATTCATGTGGATACCACTTGATGTGCTCCACCCACCCGAACACAGTTGCAGACCAGTAAACCCCCTCATTGCAATAGCACTGGTGAATTGCAGTGGCCCCCCAGCAGGACAAGCCACCATGCCACACCACAAAGACTGCTCAGGAATGACCCCAGGAATGGGACAAAGAGCTCAAGGCATTAACCTGGCCTTGAAATACAGCAGATCCCAATCTGATCAAACATCTGTAAGATGTGCTGGTACCCCATCTCACAACCCACGGGACTCAAATGATCTGAAAGTAACGCCCCGATGCCAGGCACCAATGGACACCCTCCAGAGGTCCTGCGTCCATGCCTTGACAGGTCAGAGCCAAGTCTGGTCCAAGGAGGACCCACCATGGATCGGGGGTACCTCTGGGGTAACAGCACATTCCTTAGATGTTGTGCTGTTACCCCAGAGGTACCTCTGGGGATGCCACCTAAACACCAGTGCAGACCAGATACCCCCCTTACGGCAATGGTACTTCTCAGTAAAAGTGGCCCACCTAACAGGACAATGCGCCATGCCACACCACAAAAACTGCTAAGGAATAGTCTGAGGAACGAGACAAAAAGTTCATGGACCCACCATGGATCGGGGAGTTTCATGGACCTCTGGGGTAACAGCACAACATCTGAGGAATGTGCTGTTACCCCAGAGGTACCCCCGATCCATGGTGGGTCCTCCTTGGACCAGACTTGGCTCTGACCTGTCAAGGCATGGACACATGACCTCTGGAGGGTGTCCTTTGGTGCCTGGCATCAGGGTGTTACTTTCAGATCTTTTGAGTCCCGTGGGTTGTGAGGTGGGGTACCAACACATGTTTGATCACATCAAGATCCAAGGAATTTGGAGGCCAAGTGGATGCCTTGAGCTCTTTGTCTGAGCCGTTTTTGTGGTGTGGCATGGCGCATTGTCCTGCTGGGGGGACCACTATTACTGAGGGGTGCCGTTACCATGAGTGGAGGTACCTGGTCTGCACTGGTGTTTAGGTGGGTAGATTGTGTCAGGTGGCATCCACATGAATGTCAGAGCCCAAGGTTTCCCAACAGAACATTGCATCGTAACAAGATGATCAGTGTTGTGCACGTTTTAATGTTTTGGCTGATCGATGTGTATTGAAACTGTTAATACACCGGGTACAGATGGTTCACAAGAGGAGTTATAGTTGTTGAAAAATCAACTCATAAACACTTAAAATGTATTTAATTCTGCTGACGGCTACATGACAATGCTTTATAAACCATCTTTAATTGTCTATGCTACATATAATAACCTTATTTCACTGCCTGCACATACTGTACTGCAGGCAGAGAAATAAGGTGTTACAGAAAAAGGCATGCCAGCGGGAACAGATACTATCGCAGTGCATGTGGGATATTTGTTTGCTGCCACCCTCTCCCTCTGATTACAGCTACTTAGCACAGGCTGAGATGAAACCGAGCTGTGTGGACAGCAAAGAGATAAAACGTGGAGCAGAGAGATAAGTCACACTGGAGGTTTTCAATCCTCTTGAATCTCTTATTTGCATCCTCAGTGACAGAGAGGATTGGGTCTCAAAACGGGGCCATCCCTTTCTTTTCTTCATCATTCTTAAGAAGACTTGAAGGGACAGTGCACACCAAAATCAAAAATGCATACAGTACATATTTCTCTTATAAGCCGAGGGCCATGTAGTTTGATTAGAAACAGCTGAGAGAAGGCAGACTTCTCTACAGCCAATATCTCCAACATTCAGCAGCTCACATTAAAGCAATCTAGACTGAAGATACTGCAAGTTAGAGGAAAAATGTGTTTTTGATTTGCGGGTGAACTGTCCCTTTAACGTAAGGGCTAAATGCTCAGCTGTCAATTTATGACACGCACATTTTTCAGCCCCTGCCTGTCTCCTCATTAACGGCTGATGGTTTCCAGTGGGAGAATATGCTGCTGACCGTTTCTCACAGCGGGAGAAGTGTCTCTCTCTCTCCCTCTCTGCTCCTATATGTAACAATTATTCAACACAAAATCTGCTTAGGCAGGAGGAGGCTGAGACTTCACCATGTCTTCAGAATTGGCCAGAGCAGCCAAACTAGCAAACACTGAGGGTACAGCAGAGCGTTTTGTGTCTCATCAGCACTTCTGAGTGACTGCAAGAAAAAAAAAAAGTGTCTCGACTTGGTGAGGGTGAGTTTTTTTTTTTTTTTTACTGAAGATTTCATTTTATGTTTAATGCATAGTAATGTATGTTTGAAAAGTTCAATCTGAACATGGTTTAGTCGGTCTAGCCTTTAAAGTCTTATCCAGGATGACCATGCTGTCTGCTCTACAGTATCACTGCAACAAACCGTATTCCAACTGTGCTGAAACTCAAACACTGATGCAAAATTTCTCTCATTTTTTTTTACTTAAATATGATACCTGCCAAAACTAACACCCACAAAGTGTCTCCAAACTGCAGTGTTTCCATTCCTACGGGATCCTTGTGCTGCTAGTTTTACAGTAGCCTCCACCATGCTTGTGATGTGTCCTATAATTTCTGGTGTCCATTGTTTTCAGCAAATATTCTGTGTCTTCTGAAAATGGAGTAAATCAAGACACTTTATACATAGTTTCTGTGGAGAGACTGTAATTGAAGAGGTAAATTACTAACACACTCACAGTTTGGGGTTTTCCAGGACCATGCAATGAACTGCACAGCACAGCAAGGTAAAGTTGTTTACCTTGCTGTGCTGGTCACAAACCACAGTAAAAGCCTGTCGCCTGCAGCCATTCACAGCCTCGCTGTAGCTGTTACTGTTTGTTCTACTCCCCCATACTGATCTGCTGACCAAATAGTGCAGAATCACAATAAAAACGTTCTGCCAGTTTGACAGCGAAAAGCTTTGAATGTTAAGCGGCGAATGCAGGTTTGCATCAGCAGTAACTTAATACGCTCTCCTATACGGCTGAAATCGGTCACTCAACAGTAAAATAAGGCTGATATCTTAAACCACGAACTGGAACACAGGAGTGAAACTAAACTCCAAATCACAGATATTCAGCTAGGAGCTGTGACAGTAGCAAGAGCCGAGCACAGGGAGGCTTTTAAGAATAGCACAGAAACATGAGTGTAGCTGCTGAGGGGAGGAGATGCTGGTGTTTTGCAAATAATGTGTACCATGATAACCACCTTAGCCTGGGTGTTAGCCTGCCAGCATGTGCTTATTAGCATTTAAGTCAGAGGAACACTTCAGTAAATACAATTCATCAGTAAAGTGATGCAGAAAAGGCACAAACTGGTGCACGAAAATTCCCCACACTGAAAGAAATTAAGTGTTTGAACATGAATGCCTGGACAATTTTTTTCATTGCAGTCCATAGTTGTTGAGACTTGTCACTCAAAACTACATACCAGGTGGTAAAGAGGGTACATCCTCTGGGAACCAAGAATGTCTGTGTAAAATATAGTGCCAATCCATCCAGTAAATGAAGGGATATTTAAGTCTGGACCAAAGTATTAGACTGAACCTTCTGTTAGTACATCTAAAACCTCTGAATACATTTTTTTAATCAGAGGAAACAACACCATTACTTCTGTGTAGACTTGCAGCAAAAAGTTGCACTCATTGTTGAGGACTATAGTATTAAGTCCACATATATTTGTCATTTTTTAGTGTAGCACGAATAAAAAATGCCATTTATTGGTTATTTTTTCTAGATAATTATTTTA